AATTGGATTCAATTAGAAAATCCTAGAAATATATCATACATTAGAGCAAGAACAGATATAATATCATCAGTAACAAAGAAAAATCAATGGAAACATGTACCAGGACAATGTAACCCAGCAGATTTAGCATCAAGAGGCATGTGTCCAGACAAATTATTAAAATCAAAACTATGGTTTGAAGGACCAACTTGGTTAGCAAATAAATCAGAATGGCCTGTAAAATTAAAAATATTATCAGTAAGACTAAAAGTTATGACTACCAAGGTAGAAGAAATTGAATTCATACAAACAAGAAATACAATTGAATATATATTTAAAAATACGACAACATGGAAACAGATAACAAAAAGAATTTGCGCTATATCTAGAATAAAAACATTCTATTTTTACAGATTATATAAGAAAGATAACAAATTAACATCATCAGATCTATTCCTGCCATTCAAATCATTCAAATCAGACTTTACAGACTATGAAATTGAACTAGCAGAATATCAAGCATTAAGACTCCTACAAAAGTTTTACTTTCATAAAGAGTGGAAATTCATAAGCAAAGGAATAATGATTCCCAATAGGCCAGACTTAGCCTGGGATCCCATAAAACAACTAATTATGTCAGAAAGTAGGCAAATGATAGATGAAAAAAACTGATATACCACCAGATCATCCAGTAAGAAAGGCGTTAATATACTTACCAGTCCCAAAAAAAGAAGACAATTGTAACATATTGAAAGCCTTCTTCAGACATCATCATAAAAAATTAAAACATCCTTCAACAAATCAATTACTAGTACACTTGGCTTTTAAATATTGGATAACAGGAAGCAGAAATATGGCCAAAGAAGTTAAGAGAGAATGTCCCATTTGTAGAAGATTTGATGCAAAACCCTTTCAAGCAAAACAAGCACCACTTCCAGACTATAGATATACAGGAATGGTTCCATTTGAAAAAATTGGAATAGATTTTGTAGGACCATTTAAAACGCAAAATTTTGAAAAAGAAAATAAAAATATACATAATGCAAATCAAAAGAAACAAAGGTTAAAAGGACCAAAAATCATAAAGTCAATCCCATCTCAAACAATATCAATATGTGTATTCACTTGCACACTCACTAGAGCAGTTCATTTGGAAATAGTAAAGAAAGTGGATTTGGAACATTTTATAGGAGCCTTTGAAACCTTCTATTATAGTAGAGAAATCAATCCAAGATTAATAATATCAGATAATGCAAAGACATTTCATGCAGCATGGAGGAAAATAATGAGCCATGAACAATACCAAGCAAAATTCAAAAGAACTTTCAAAAGAACAAAAAAGCACTTTAATGCCGCAAGAGCCCCATGGTGGGGAGGATTTTATGAAAGAATGATGAGGGTAATAAAAGATAGATATGCTAGAGGATATGGTGGTATACCATTTAGCAATAACAATAAATTAAATGTGTCTGTAAAATTTGTAGAATCAGCAATTAACCCAAGGCCCCTAACATACCAGTCTGCAGAAAGAGACGCACCAATGGTAGTAACACCATCCCTGTTCCTACATATACATAAAGCAGATTGGAGAACAAGACCCTTTGAGTCAGGGCCTGATTTATCAAAATTTTTAGAAATAGATGATACAGGTAAATTTACAAAAGAAGCTCTATTTAGATATAATATACACAAGAAACTATGGCTAATGTTTGAAGATGGATACATTAAAAATCTTAGAAAATTTACAGAAAAATTGGGAAAGAACACACAATTAGAACCAAAAGAAGGCCAAGTTGTGTTACTAAAAAGACAAAGATTTAAAGGAGATTCACCCTTCGAAAGATTGAAATGGAAATTAGCTAGGATTTTAAAAATTTAAAGAAGTCCATGAGACAACGTAACAAGAGCAGTAGACATAATTACTGGAACACCAACTAAAAGCCCACAAGATGAGTCCCTCCCTGTAATTTTGACAAATCAGTCAATAAGAAACTTAATACCATTAGAAATGGACGTGCCCCAACAAGATAAATCAAAAGGACAACATCCAACCACCCTTCCAATACTGGTAAACTATATAAACACAAAATCGTTTACAAAATAAAACATATCTTCAAAGTGAAAAAGAGTTCATTCTGGAGCAAAATGCATCATACAAAATTTTGAACATAACAAATTCAATCATAATACCTGTTCGAAGTCACAAAAGACAAAGTTCTCAAACAATCATCACGTCATCTCAAAAGATCATCATCACGAATCAGAATAGTTCACAACGCTTCGATACAAATGGGAGATACCACGTTCAAACAAAAATGCAAAAAATTCTTTCGATTGCAAAAAAGGCACATCAGTAGATTGGTAACATAAATGGGCAAGCTCAAAAAATATCAAACGAAACCATCAGTTACAGCTCTCACAGCATCTTTTTCCAAGATCCATCTGAGACCTTGTTTTCCAACAACATAGAAACCAGTTGGGGTTTTAAAAGTCACCCAGCCCCTATGGGAACAATTTTTAATAATGACCATCGATGTAGCAGAGGCCTTTTCACCACGTTGATCAAAGTCGTACACCCTGTGACACAATACGTCCATCAAAAAGCATTTGTCGGCAAGAAACCGGGGGGACGGAACCAGAAATCTGAAAATATACCAAAAGGAAAATACTGTAAAATCAAAAGTTGAAACATTTAAAAAAAAAATTTAAAAAAAATAAATACAAACCTGAACACATCCCCTTGTTCACCATGCAACTCCTTTGAGACAGAAAAGCTTTCCATCCCATTGCAAAAAACTGATGGACCATTTGGGCCACAATGAATGTGCTCCTCAAGGGGAGACTTCCCAGGAATAATATTCCCATCTACTCCCCAAGGGGCAGCTTTACCCGCACAAAGATGAACAGGATAGTCCGTACATCCCAACCAGGTTAACCCAATTCGAATGCAATTACTATGATCCCTGGTGAATGCCAACAAACCTCTTGAAGAAATGTGACCAAAGCCTACCATATCACCGTGACACATGCTAAATCGAGATAAATAGAGGATCGGAGATACAACCAACCTCCACCCAACATGGTCAGGATCACTTTTGTTCAAATAACCAATCAAAGATCTTAATCTTAGATACAAAAACTTTTGATAAATTCTGCCCGCCTCCATACGCTCATCAGGACCAACATAATGTTCAGCCCTAACTGGCGTTAAGGGTAATACAGGAACACCATTCCGATCACAAATAAGGCCAACGGGGCACTCCTTTCTCTTTTTTGTACAGGGGGGAGATGCCCCCATAGCAAAAACGCAACAGTTAAAAGCTTCAGATAATTCACTTAAAAAATCCTCATAAGCTTTAAAAAAGTCATCAAAACAATTGAATTGGCAATATCCATCCAAACGAATTAATTGCTTGATGTCGTTAGTCCCTCCCCTAACAAAAACCCCATCAAAAATAAACGATTCATCAAGCTTCAGATCCAAATAAACTCGATTCCATAGGTTGGTAGATGACATCAATCCATCCCCACAGACCACGGACCAGCCGGACATAGACCAGCACTGTAAAATATCAATAATATCAGTAAATATATCAAAAAGTGAGCATTATCAAAATACCTGGTAAATGTCAACGTCTAAATCCTCAACCAGATGCAAGAAATTTGGAACAGCACGTTCAGTCAGTTGATCAGCACGAATGCGAGTACAAAAAGTAAATTCCTTTCCGCGCAGATGAAAAGAACTACACAATGACATTGCAATGATCAGAATCGCCTTCCTCTTGGTATTTTTTCTGGATTCCGGCAAAAAATCTAATTTTGCAGTACTAAAGTCAAAATCAGCTACCAGAGTTCCTGGTACCGGCAGCGGAACCTTAACTTGGTTTGACTTCAGTTCCTTGTAAACAGCATCAGTTAATTTCATCGATTTCCCAACATTATTAAAATATGTGGGGGAATTATCAGGCATAAATTTTGAAACTTCGAAGATTGAACTCCAATGACCTAATAAAATAGTATAATTAAGAAAAGATAAATCATTTAACAAGTTTCACAAAAAAACATACGAAACGGGCGGTTGCCTTCATTCAAATCCAGTCCCAAATTAAATTGAAGTATCTCCTCGTCACCAAGACCAGCGATTGCCCCGGGTTGATTTTTCGGAACACCAGCCATCTCATCAATAACGGCAGGAACACAAGGAATTCTCTCCACTTGTTCACTTGGCCCCAAATCCACTAAAGATGTATCATAATGAGTTAAAAATAAAACTAAAAAATTCATAAAAAGTAAAAGAGTTAAAAGAATCTACACCTAAGTCAGAAGATTCAGAAATGACTTCCAGACACTCGCTTGAAGATCCTTTGGATATCTCAACTGCTTTCTCTGATAGAGGTAGGTCCGCTGGCGTGGGAATGGTCAAATGTCCGCACCAAATCTTCTTTAAGGATTCAAATCCACTGATGTTCAAAGTAATACCCTGATCCTTGCTTCACAATGGTCGTCTGATAAAAATACGAAATTTTTTTATCAAAAGGTCCTTTACAAAAAACCCTTCACAACTCACCAAAAGTTTGTAGATAATCACCATCAAGAATATTTAAGAAAAAAGTCCGCTCATTCGAAAATGATCGCAAAAAAGTCTCGCGATCACAAAAGTTGATAATTTTAAATGAATCATTCAACTTAGTCAGAGCTGTGTTGCATGCAAGTTCAGATTGATGTAATATTTGGCGACGAGCACTAAGATCCACATTTAAATCATGCTCCAAACGACTCAATAACGCATGCTCTTCCTCCACTAAAGCTAATCGAGCTCTTTTTCTACTAATCGAAACGCGTGCCCCTTCAACAGTCTTCTCGTATAGAAAGTCACTTTTCACGACACTACACAATTCCACTAGGCGTTTCCAAGTCCTTAGATCAGCAGTCTCCAAAGTTTTTACAAGATCCAAGGCCAACAAAGGAAACTTGATGGTCCGTTCCTCTAGTTTTGGTTGCTCCTGACGTTCAGAGATGGACAGCTCACCTAATAACAGATTAACATCTGAAATGGGTATCGAATCAAATAAATCACAAATCAAAAGAAATAATCAAAAGAAAACAGAAAAACTAAAACAATCAATAGAGAAAATAAAAAGATGACAAAACATACGATATGAAAATGAAATTAAGGAAAAATAGAAACGAAACAAGCTTGAAATTGCATAATTGAGCTCAATCAAGAGAAATTCGAAACAAAACGCCTTATTTGAATGATAAAAGAATTACAGGCCAAGAGTTGAAAATACGCTCGCAAAAAAGAGAGTTGAAATTACACTCGCAAAAACATGAGAGTTGAAATGACACTCAACAAAAAGATATAAAAAAAGAAGAAGAGACGACAAACCTTCGTCAGGAACATCACCAAGAAGATCCGAAGAAGACGAACCAGCAGCCACATCCATCAGTCCTTCATCGAGCCCAGCCATTGCGGAAAAAACTCAAGAAACTTCAGGGAAGACTCAGGAGAACACTTTGGCAAGAAAAGATTGTGAAAAGTTGGCGAAAAATCTATGAGAAACTCGCGAAAATGAAAAATCAGCAAAATCGGACAAGACACGCGAATCTATGGATCAAAATGAACGCGGAGAAACCTGTGAATGTGATATGTTGAATGAAACATTTGAATGAAGCATAAAAAATATTTGAATTCAGAAACTGATCACTTCCAAATTCAAATACGAACACGTATCAAAAAACAAGGGACCCTCTCACAGACCCTCTGATGTAGGAACTTTCAAAATGAAGCTAATGGCTGGGTGACCATTGCGCACTCGAGTCCCTGTCATGGCATTTAAGAGCCAAATGCCCAGTGAAAGATCCCATCTTGAAGATGGGAAGGCTAAAACGGACGAGTTTGTATAACTCGTCCGTTTCAGGAAGGCTAAAACGGACGAGTTTGTAAAACTCGTCCGTTTTTGTCCGTTTTAGCCTTCCCAGCTTGAAGATGGGAAGGCTAAAACGGACAAGTTTGTATAACTCGTCCGTTTTAGCCTTCCCATCTTGAAGATAGGAAGGCTAAAACGGACGAGTTTTACAAACTCGTCCGTTTCAGGAAGGCTAAAACGGATGAGTTTGTATAACTCGTCGGTCAGAACACAATTTTTTATCCAAAAGATGTCCATGAAACTCATTTGGATGAGTTTCGGACATCTTTTGGATAACTTTGTGCTCACTGGGCTCCCCAAGAAAAAATTAAACTTTCTTGGCGCCAAGACGTCTGTCTTGGCGCCAAGATGTCTTTGATTACCAATTTGTCGGCCAATCCCAGACCTTTGAGATTTCCCTGCCCTTGATCAACCCCCCTTGATTGAGAGCAGGAGAAGAAATCAATAAATACCCCTTGCTTTCATCAAAAGTACACAGTTCTTGTTTTGTTGCCGCCGCAGCGTGATCAGAGGTTTTTTGAGAGGTCTTTCTGAAAAACATCTTGTTCAAAAATCTTCTAAAAATTGTGTTGTCTGTTTTGTTCATCATCTAAATTTTGGGACTTATCAAAATATACTTTAACTTTAAATAGGGATTCCACCGTGAATTCCCGGCCCCTGTCCCAGTCTGATTCTGTGTTTTTCTTGAAATCATTTTATCAGTTAATCTCTTTCTTTACAGCCTTTTCTTGTTGCAGTGACTTCAGTCACCAACATGTGATATGACCATGTTGCACTTTATGAGAAAACTTGNTCACGTTATTCATAACAAAATACTCACCATAATTCCAAGAAGATGAACATTGTCTCCCAATTGAAACTGATCCTTTCAATATATATATCAACACAAAATGGACATTTAGGGAATTGAATACTGATACCTCTTTACAGTACACATGAATGTTGGCATTCTCTGCAAAAATAAAATTCAAGTGAAATAGAGAGACAGAAGTCCCACTATGCTGGAGTCAATTTTTTAAAATTAGCTAAATGAATGGTAAATTGCTTAGAGAAACACCCAAGAACTGTTCTTACATCAATGTTAGTGCTGTAAATATCTGTTTCTTGTAATTTGGCCTGAAACTTATTTGCAGTTTTATCACAAAATGTCCCTTACCTTGAGTCAGTGTCCTCACATAGGGCATTTTTAAAATCAATTTGTATAGGAAAATAAGTGTCCCTATGTCAAATTGTCTGCATGTTGAGGAGTCCGCATGTGGGGGTCTCAGTGTACACTGTACAGTGAGACCCTGAGATGAGGATGTAAATGGTGCATCAAGAGTGTCCCTAAGTTGAGTCTCATTTTCCCTTAGAATTACATTATATAAATTTTAATTGATGTTTTATGACTTTTATGTACAAAATACTCACCATAACTTCATGAAAATAAAAATTGTCTCAACATTTAATCTGATTCCAATCAATATATTTCATCACAGTATGGACATTTGGGAAATCAAATTTGGATACCTCTGTAGAGTATATAGAAATGTTGGCATTCTCCATAAAAATAAAATTCAAGTGAAAAAGAGAAAAGGAAGTTGCTCTCTGATGGAAGTATTTTTTTAATTAGCTAAATGGATGGTAAATTGGTGAAAGAGATGCCCAAAAGCTTATCCACATCAATTTTAGGGTTGGAAATATCTTTTTCTTGCAATTTGGCCTGAAATGTATCTGCAATTTTATCACAAAATGTCCCTATGTACAGTCAGTTTCCTAATTTTGGGCGTTTTTCATTAATTTTTTATTATAAAATAAGTGTTCCTGTGTTGAATTGTCCGCATGTTGAGGTTTCCGAATGTGGGGGTATCAGTGTATATAAAATATTCCTCAAATTAACTGTTGGCTTAATTGAAGTGATTCTATCTGAGAAGGCAATGAAGAAATGCGTGTGAATATATGAGAAACAGTGTTGACGAAGCCTGTGGGGTTTCATCGGGACCTTGTTGGGGGTTGTTAAAGTGCTCTCGGACATGCAAGAAAGGCGGGATGAGCATGGTTGGGTTTTTCCGCATCCAGCAAAAAGCTGCTCTTTTCTAGAGTCGTGTTCATATTCCCTGGAGAATCTTTGGGGATCGAGCCGCCTTCGTACATCCGATTCATCATGGAGTGTATATATCCGTGCAGGCGTGGGATAACCCCTACTTTTCAGGGTTGCCAATGTCCCAGATATAGAGCGAGAGATAACCTATACATTTATAAAACCCAGGGTATCATTTGCATCCGTTCATGTCTGTTCTGATTCTTCATCATTCATACATGTCATGTGATTATACCTTAAATGGGAACAGACAACATCTTTGCTATAGACTAGTTTTGCCCAACCAATGGTCCACAGAAGTATTTTTCTGGTCTGTGGAAAGTTTTATCCTGCATAAAATAAATTACCAAAAGCAGCAATGGTAAATTACGAAATTGTTATCTGGAATCTTTTCAAGACAATAGCATTAAAAATTATAGCACAAAAAGTAGGTGTTGAATTTTCTCCTATAATAACACCAGACAAGTTTTCACCTGATGAAATGAATTATTTTAATTTTTCATTCAAAGAAATATTTTTTGAAGCCCAGAGTTATAATTTTTTGAAGATATTTCGCTACAGTTGCTTCATTGTGGGCTCTCAACTTTATGTTTTCAAAAAATCAGAAATTTGTTATATACCTGCCTGTAAGAAGTCTATAACCTGCCTATATCCGTTAATTTTTTGCATACAAGGAGGTATTCTGCAGGAACAACACAATAGTTAAAACTGAAGGTATTTTTTGATGAGACATACAACTTGCAGATATCTATTAAAGGTGGTACCTTGCAATTTGACATCCCACCATTTGGCCATCCCACAATTTGACTGTCAAATTTTCTGGGACATCAACATGCAATTTCACCTGCAGAGAGACTCAAAAAGTCAAGTTTGATATAGAAAGCATGAAATTTGAGATTGTCTCACAATTTGACTGCTTTGAAATTCAACCCTTATACCTGGGAATGGATTAGGGTCAAATTGCAGGGCACCACCTGTATTTACTATGATGCCTCAAATTACACAACTGTAAATCTAAAAATCTGTTTTCCTCTTGAATTCCTTGTCCAGCTTTTTGAATCAATTCAGTGTTTTAAACCAGTGCTCCCCAACCCACGTCCGCAGAAGTTTTTTTGTTTTTTCTGCGGGACATTTTTTCAGCATAATAAATTAATCAAAATGAAAAATAGTCTGTTTATGGAAAAATGAAGGCAATTTGTGCATGCGAATTTTTTTCTGTTTTTTCATCTGAAATCGTTCAATTAAAAAAACATGATCGGTTGTTTGTAAAAGATTGGCGAGAAAGTGAAGAGACCCATCGTATTTTCGCCACCCAGAAAATGTATTGTAGATATCAACATTTTATAATATTTCCCCGTTTATGATCCATACAGTCAAGAAGTTAAATTTTCCCATGCCTTGGAAAATTGCAGACTGCGAAGGAAATGTATAATTTCCCCGAGAAACACTTGGAAAGTGTTTCACCACAATACCAATAAATCTGAAACTTCCTCCGAATTCACGATGTCGCGAAAACTCCGTTGAATCCAAGACAAACGATCGCCAGAAGTACCAAGAAAATATGTGACTTCTTTTTTTTTTAACGCTGGATTTTTGCAGTACTCCCTGACGAAGGAAAGCCATTATATACGAGCGCAAAAATACCGAAACGCAGCCATTTATCAAAACAAAATTTTATTGATGCCATTTTCAGCACACGCGGTGAATATTTTGTCGAATACTATATTGCAAGGCATAAGAAACAAAAGGCATAAACTTGTACTATAATTAGCAGATTAATTTCATAAGATTTGAAAGACTGTATGCGTCTCACACATTTTATAAGAATTATTGAAATATACGTTGAGAACGAATCAGCAGTTTAATTTCATGGGATTTGAAATACTGTCTGTTTCTTCCACATTTTATAAAATAACTACTCAAATATATATTCAGGACTAATCAGCAGTTTAATTTCATGAGATTTGATTTCCTGTATGCGTCTTACACATTTTATAAAATAATTATTGAAATAAAAATTGAGAAATAATCAGCAGTTTAATTTCATGAGAGCGATTTGAAATACTGTATGTTTCTTCCACAGTTTATAAAAGAACTACTCAAATATATTTTCAGAACTAATCTGCTGTTTAATTTCATCAGAATTAAAATACTGTAGATCTCTTCAACATTTTATGAAAGAACTATTGAAATATACATTCAGAACGAGTCCGAAAATCATGTTCCGTCCTCATTAAAATTCAACCTGACGAAAACAAGACACAGGATTCACCAACGAATATGTTAACAAATAATTTAAAGGTTCAAATTACAGTACCGTGCCTTCGAAGACTTTTTAAAGTACTTGAAAAAAATGAGACTCAAATGTTAAAAATAACTGAAAGAAGACGTCAAGAATTAGGCCGACTGGTGCAGAAAAATGATTACCGTACAGTTTCTGTTTCTTCCACATTTTATAAAA